TATTGTAAAAAAGTTATTTAAAAGTAAATACATTTATAAGTTAGCAATTAAACATATTATTATTATTGACAATGAGTAAGTAAATAAAAATTTATATTTTAAAATATTCGTACACTTAAGTAATTATATAATTTATTATATTACTTTCAATAGGGAGTTATATGGTAATTTTGGTATTTGCAAATTTGGCTATTTATACGACATTTGCAGCAAATTGTCCAACTGACCCTGCTGTATTAGCACCATGCACATGTTTAGCTGAAAATCAAATCATGTGCGACTATAATGCCAACCACTACGATTTGAAAGCAGTTTTCAAAAATGTAAGCAAGGCACTTGATGGTACCGATAAACGCATCCCATATGTTAGTATTTGGGATAATAAGTATTTCACGGAAATACCCGAAAATGTGTTTGCCGATATCCTTGTTGAATCTGTTGAATTGTGGTTCATGCCTAATTTAGTCAACGTACACAAAATGGCATTTTCAGGGACGGCCGATAATATTAGAAAACTCGATGTAAATCGTTGCCCAGTAAATAATAACACCGACCAAGGTGATTACGATATATTCGCCGCGATACGTAAGCTGACCAACGTTCAAGAAGTTCAATTGAGATTAACCAATATCACGGAGATTCCAAGTCTAGGAATTAGCATGCTAAATAAATTAGAAAAAGTAACATTTAGCGCCTATGATGATAGTGAGTATGGATCACTCGAAACAATCAACCCGGTTGCATTTTTTCAATTACCCATGCTCAACATGGTAGAGTTACAATCAAATAACATATCGATTATTGGCGATGCTTTTATAGCATTATCGGGTGGTCCTAATACTGCAATAAACGTTAATTTGACAAATAACCCAATTGACCCTGATACAACATTTTCGAAAGATTCCATGGCGATCACGTACGGCCAAGTGTACCTTGAGCTAACAGTGCTAAGGAAAACTGTATTTAATTATTTGAACGAGAACATTTTTAGTACATTGCTCAAGTTTCCATCAGAGGGCAATCAAATAAGAGTTAACATCGATTGTCAAGATTGTAGGAACGCGTGGTTACTGAAACCGAAAGACTATTACCCGGGTATGAATGATCATCTATATTCAATTACATGCAGTAACGGGAAGTATTTGGATGACCCTGAAAATTTTGTCAAATGTGCTAAATAAATGTTATTGTTAAAAATATTAAATTTCATATGAAATTAAATAAATTATAATTACTTTAAAACTATTTTAAACTTTACTATTATATTTATTTATAAGTATAAATTTTGGTTTGAATTATATTAAAATGTTATTACAAATTAAATGTTATTTTAATTTTAAAATTTTAAAATGATGTGAACTGGACAAGTTTAAATTAAATTAAAATATAATATGATGTTGCTAATTTTGATTATGAATCACCCTATAATCTTATTACAGTTTTTCGAATTTTAAAATAAAATCTAAAGTTTTATTTAACAAATAATATATATTAACTCCGGTGCATTTTTTGAGTTACCTATGCTCAACAAGTTAGAATTACAATCAAATAACATATCGGTTATTGGCGATTGTTTTGTAGCATTGTGCGTTGGTGATAATACCGTGATAAACGTTAAATTGACAAATAACCCCATTGCTCCTGATATAACATTTACGAAGAATGCGTTGGTATTTACTTATGCCCAAGTTCACTTCGAGCTCACAGGGTTAAGAAAATCTGTATTTAATTATTTGAACGAGAACATTTTTAGTACAATGTTAGAGATCCCATCAATGGGTCATCAAATAAGAGTTAACATCGATTGTCCGGATTGTAGAAACGCGTGGTTATTGAAACCAAAAGACTATTACCCTTTGTATGAAGGATCATTTGTATTCAATAACATGAAAAAAGTATTTAGATGATCCCGATAATTTTGTTAAATGTGCTAAATAGATGGATATATGAGAGCAATGTATTGTTTGAATAAAATAAAACATTTTTAATTATCAAATACTAGTATTTTTACTGTATCATACTTGGTAGTATAAATATAATTCATAAATAGTTTAATTGCTTTTTAAAAATAATTTTTAGTTTTTTATAACATTTTATAGTTGATTAAAATATCAATTTATAATTATTTAAAGTAAAATACTATCATTATTAATGATTTTTTAAAATAAATATAAAAATTTAAATATTTGATATATAATTTTATAATTAATAAATAATTTCACTATTTTATAATTTATTTATTCGTTATATTTTTTTAAAAAATCAATAACTTAAATGTACATGCTTCATAGTATTGATGTTTTATTTAAACACATTTAGCAAAATTAGCTGGATCATCCAAATACTTTCCATTGCTGCATGTTATCGGATATAGATGAGCATTCATACCTGGGTAATAGGCATTGGGTTTCAGTAACCAGGCATTCCTGCAATCCTGGCAATCGATGTTTACCCTGATTTCATGTCCTTTATCGGGGAACAGCAAGGGACTGAAAACAGACTCATCCAGATAGGTAAATACAGATTTCCGTAACACGGTTAGCTCAAGGTAAACTTGATTAATTGCCAATAAAGCGACTTCAGTGAATGACGCATCAGGGGTAAGGGCGTTATTAGTCAAATTGACATATAATACACCTTGCTGGTATGTGGCCCCGGTCATAAAACAATCTTCAATTCTTGATATATTATTCGACGATAAATCAATATGTTTAAGCGAGGGCAAATCAAAAAAGGCACGATCCCTGATTGTCTCTAATGAACCGATTGCTGGTATGTGGCCCCGGTCATAAAACAATCTTCAATTCTTGATATATTATTCGACGATAAATCAATATGTTTAAGCGAGGGCAAATCAAAAAAGGCACGATCCCTGATTGTCTCTAATGAACCGATATATCCATCTAAAGGTTTGAAATTAACCCTTTCCAATTTATGAAGTGACATAAATGCCTTATGGGGAACCTCCGTAATATTGGTCATGATCAATTCAATTTCGGTTATATTACTCAGCGCTCGAATTGCAGAAAATATATTGTAATCACCTTGATCGGTGTTGTTATTAACAGGGCAAACACCTACTTCCAGTTTTTCAATATGATCAGCCGTACCCGAGAATGCCGCTTTATGTATATTGACTAAATTGGGCATGGCAAAAATGTCGACTGATAAAACTTGGACATCAGCAAACACATTTTCCGGGAGTTCAGTAATATATTTGTTGTCAAATAAGCTGATGTAGGTTATTTTTTTATCGGTGCCGTCAAGTGCCTTGCTCACATTTTTGAAAATAGCTTTTAAGTCGTATTGGGTCTCTTTATCACCACACCAGATATGATCGTCTTTTAAGCACTTGCATGGTTTTAATACATCAGGGTCAGCTGGACATTTTGCTGCCATTGCCATTGAAATAACATTGACCAATAATAATGTAATTATCATGTTAGCCTCTATAATGAAAATATATAAACAGTTAAAAGCAATATCTATAATAAAATAAAATAGTGATTATATCGGTAATGTTTATTTAAATAAAATTGCATACCGATTATTTCCATTATTGAAACCGGTATATTTGTGAATATTTCAATTTGTAATAATTCAATAATAAATTATTTTAAAATTACTAATACTAGGTTTGTAGCTTTTATACTAAATAGCTATCAATACTTCATAAAGTAACCTTGAAAACAATGGATTATTTTGAAGTGTTTCCCAATTCATAAGTAATATTTTATCTACTTCATAATAAAATTAACAAATATGAGTGAAATTGTCAATTAATTGATTTTCCCGATAATTAATATCAAATTTATAAGGAGGATCTTAAAATGCATGGGCACGGGCATAACACGGGCACGGGCACATAATTGACACGGGCACTTTATGATCCTCATAATATATTATATAACAAGTGCACTTATAATACCGTGTTGTGCCTAATATATTTAATCAACAACCATTTTGCTATCATTACAATTGAAATAATATTAACCAATAATACTGTAATTATTATGTTAAACTATTTAATCAATATAATATACAGTTTAAATCATTGTTAATAATGTAATAAACTAATGACAATTTTTAATGATATTAAAATAAAATTTCATACACATTATTCGTATTATAGATATAAATATTGTCAATTGTTTAATTTATTATATTAGTAATTGATAAATTATTTTTAAAAGTCTAAATATTAGCTCTGTAACTTTTATACTAGATAGCTATCAATGCTACATTTGAAGTTGCCTTGAAAACAATATATTATTTTAAAGTTCCTAATTTCAGAGGTAATTTTTGATGAGGATTTTGTTACCTTAACAAATTTATATCATATTTAACAAAATTTGATAATAAGAGTGTAATTGTCAAAATTTTGTGTAATCCAGATCTAGTATAATATTTAACATGTCACCAATGTACTGTACTTCTAATCTCCTTTTGTGTCTAATGTTTTGTATCATAAAAAATTAATGAAACATTAATACTTTTATATATATACATAACAAGCTTATCTAGTTATAAATGGAAATTACACAATTAATACGACAAATTTATTTACATTACCCGACTAAATTATAGTATTTTTAGATATTAATACCTTTTCAAAATTATTCCTAACCTTAACAACAACTGCATAATTACTACTGTATTAATTATAACTCACCAACTTAATTCTTGATGTTAATAAAGGTAAATAACATTTTAATAATCATATTTTATTTATTTATAAATTTAATAATATAATTTTCTAAAATTTATGACTTACAATAAAATAATGCACTTTAGCTTAATATTACATATATTTAATTAATAGATTATAAAGATTCTTTCAAATTTTCAGGCAATTTGTATGATCATTTAAAAACTATTGTTTAATGCATTTATTTTTAAATTTAATACCGTATTCCCGCACAAGCACCGGCATTATAATTGAAATTTGAATGTTATACATTTTAAATATATTAAATAATTTTTCATTAATATTTTACAGTGTTATAGATTTATTCAATGTTTGACATGTACCCTGATACACCATTCTGTGTGCAATACTGCTCCAAAAAGGCAACGGCAACATTGACATGATTGTCATTGATCATTTGATTACAAATGTTGTTAAACACATAGATCTTGCTGAATGCATAGGTATTCTGTGAACATAGTTTATAAACAACCAATTAACTAGTTCAAATTTAAAATAACTATATATAAATTATACCTTGTTCATATTGAAACACTTATCGTGGAAGATGTCGACAAACTTCTTATAACAAGTCATGTCTTCGGATAACTCGAGTTTGCTATTCAACAGAGCATTGGTGTCCAAACGGGTCATGTGGTGCACGCTATCCACAAATGCGCGCAAATGTTGGTCAACGTATTGGCGACCCTTCAGTAATTGAGATAATTCATCCACATATCTATCAAAATATAAAAATATATTTATAACTTTAATTAATATTTTTAAAATTATTATTAAAAATATAGTTACAATTGCTTCTCATTGATATCATTAGTTGACTGAATGTTCTTTTCTGTCAATTTTATGGGAATGTCCCGAAAATTCACAAACTCGGCATTCTTATGCACTACTACACTATTGGCACCGGTAGTTGGCACCTTCTTAGTACCTGTATTACATGATAGCCATATAATTTTTTAAAGAGTTTAATGTTATTTTAAATTAACCAAAATATTTTAGTTAATTACCCAAAAAGTCTGAAATATGTTGCTGGGCGATTTTCAAATCACCATAATGTTGCGCGTGCTGAAAGAATGTCGCATTGAACAAGGTTATATTATTGTGCTCAGCAATATATTTGTACTGTCTATCAAGGAGCTCCACTTGCGGGTCAATATGCTCCATGTCAAACATCCAGTTCATGGTGAACCAACCAGCTTAATTATGATAAATTAACTTATTATTAATATTATTCTAGTTTTCAATAATCACATAAATTATAAATAATTACCAAGAAAAGTTTTTCTATAACTGTCATAAGTGCACATATGACTAAATTCATCATTGCGTGATGAGGTAATAGCGTAGACATTGATGTCAGTGGGTAAGTGTTTTTCAAACATGGATCCTGAATAATTAAATTTTTAAATATATAGAAAAAACAATATTTTTAATTATTTTAGTTTATATACCAGAAATGCACGCTTCCAAATAGAAAACAAGTTTGGCAAACTTTTGCTCCATGTTCATTTTCTTAAGCATATTGTTGAGATCATCGGCAAATAAATAGGCCTTGGGGAACAACACCGCACCTATAAAAATAAATTAACAACCTTATTATCTTTTTACATCAACCTAATGAATTATTAAATATGTTACCCTGTACACCGTGGTCCATAAAAAACACAAAAATATTATCTTTCGGTCCACTCTTGACCACACGTTTACCCTTTGCTTCCAATGCCGGGTCTCCACTAATAACTCCTAAAAAATTCTAATAAACAAAATATGACCAAGATTAGTTAATGGTTTTTTAAATGAAATTATAATAAAAAATTTAATATTACATGTGGTGTGACATCATCGCCTACGTAATCCTTGGGTACACCCTTATAGACGTTGGTGCCATTCAGCTCGTTGACAATGACCCCGGGTGTCGGATTCTCCGGTGAATTAGCCAGGTCGTCGTAGTGCATAATAATAATATTTTTATCCGGGATACCTTGCATTTTGATAGTTTGGTAAGCGTGATACACATTGGCCTAAGAATATTAATTTTAAAAATAATTAATTAATTTAGAAATTATTTAAATAAAGTGCTTAAGTATCTAGTAGATATTTTAAGAAATTAAATAAACAATTTTTGTTATTAAAAAATAAAACATATATTTTTTATAATTACAAATATTCTGTATAGTTACCGTGATAGCGTAATTTTTCCAGCCAATACCACCCGAGCACAGTACTACCCAGGTTTGACCCTCAGGTGCCTGGCCATTGGGCATGGCACTAACAGTCAGCACCATTAATGAAAAAATTGGCACTAATTTCATAATATATTATTATACTAATTAATACTTATTACAATAATTACAAGTCTACAAAATATGAGATACCGTTAAAAGTTTCTTACAGTTTGTAAACTGTATTTATAGACAACTGTAATCAATAGCATACCTGTTCTCAATGCACTACCAGTGATACAGTGCATTGGGATCACTGATATAATTATTATTGCACAATATTGTTATATGTTACACATATTAAGCTAGTACAATTACAAAAATACTAAGCAATGATCATTGTACCAACTTAATCATAAGATGTTCATAATCATAGATACTTTACTGTAAATCAGATTTCTAACTGGTAGTACATTGGGATCAGTTATGTTAATGATTAAATTTGCCTATAAATACAGTTTACAAACTGTATCAAACTTTTAATAATCTCTCATATGTTGTAGACTTGGTATTGTTATATTAAATATTAATTAGTAATTAATTATGAAATTAGCGCTAATTTTTTCGTTAATGATACTGGATGCTAATGCTATGCCCAATGGCCAGGCACCTGAGGGCCAAACCTGGGTAGTATTATGTTCGGTTGGTAAAGGTTGGGACGATTACTCTTTTTCGGTAATTATAAACATTTTTGGAAATCATTAAAAATTATTTATTTAATTTTTAAAAATATTTATGCTAGATAATTAAGCGCTGTATTTTTTAAAAGGTGTATCTAAATTAATTAATTATATTTAAATTAATATTATTAGGCCAGTGTGTATCACACTTACCAAACTATCAAAAAGCAAGGTGTCCTGGATAAAAATATTATTGTCATGCACTACGATGACCTGGCTGACGACTGGCATAATCGGACACCCGGTGTCATTGTTAATGAGGTTAACGGCACTGACATCTATAAGGGTGTACCCAAGGATTACGTCGGCGCTGACGTCACGCCACAAGTAATCTTAAAATATATTATTTTAATTTCAAATCATAAATATTAACCAACCGTGGTTATATTTTGTTATCTAGAATTTCTTAGAAGTTATTAGTGGAGACTCAGCGCTGGAGGCAAAGGGTAAACGTGTGGTCAAGAGTGGACCCAAAGATAATATATTTGTATATTTTGCGGGCGATGGTCAACCTGGTAAGTTATTTATTATTTAATTAATAAGTATGTTGATGGAAATAGCTAATAAAGTTGTAAAATTTATTTGCATAGGTGTGTTATCGTTCCCCAATGACTATTTATACGCGGATGACCTAAACAATATGCTTAATAAAATGAATCAAGAGACAAAGTTTGCCAAGCTTGTTTTTTATTTGGAAGCTAGTTTTTCTGGTATACTTTGCATTTTATATATTTTAATATATATTGCAATAATATTTTTAATATAATTTTATTTATTTTTTTTATAAATTTAATATTTTTATTATTCAGGATCCATGTTTGAAACACACTTACCCACTGACATCAATGTCTACGCCGTTACATCATCAAACAATGATGAATTTAGTAACACATGCAACGTTGACATTTATAGAGGGGTTTATCTTGGTAATTAACTATAATTTATATTATGTTTACAAACTACGAGTGTATTTATAATAAGTTAATTAATTATATTTAAGCTGGTTGGTTCACCAAGAACAAGAACCAAGGCTGTTTGACATGGAGCATAATGACCCCCAAGTGGAGATCCTAGATAAACAGTACAATTATATTGCTGAGCACAATAATTTAACCATAGAAACTGTAACTGTTTTTCAACACGCGCAACATTATGGTGATTTGAAAATCGCACAGCAACATATTTCAGACTTTTTGGGTAATTAACTAAAATATTTTGGTTAATTTAAAATAACATTAAACTCGGTATACAATAATTTGATGATCATTGAATACAGGTGCTAAAAAGGTGCCACCTACCGATGCCAATAGCATGGCTGTGCCCACAAATGCCGAGTTTGTAAACTTCCGGGACATTCCCATAAAATTGGTCGAAAAGAACATTCAGTCCACTAATGATATCTATGAGAAGAAAATGTAACTAATTTAAAAATTATTTTGTAGTTTCAAAAAATATTAAATTAATTTTTTTTGGGGTTAGATATGTGGATGAATTATCTCGATTACTGAAGGGTCGCCAATACGTTGACCAACATTTGCGCGCATTTGTGGATAGCGTGCACCACATGACCCGTTTGGACACCAATGCTCTGTTGAATAGCAAACTCGAGTTATCCGAAGACATGACTTGTTATAAGAAGTTTGTCGACACCTTCCACGATAAGTGCTTTAATATGAACAAGGTATATTTTTATAAGTTATTTTAAATTTGAAATAGTTTATTAATTGTTTATAAACTGTGTTCACAGAATACTTATGCATTCAGCAAGATCCATGTGTTTAACAACATTTGTAATCAAATGATCAATGACAATCATGTCAATGTTGCCGTTGTCGTTTTGGGACAATATTGTACACATTATTATGTATCAGGGTACATGTCAAACATTGAATAATTAGTTAATAGTATATAGAATTAATAAAAAATAATTTTATTGGTAAAAAATGTAAAACATTGTATTTAAAAATCAAAATAACATTTAATTTTCAATACTGGTTATTTGTTTAAACAATTTAAAAATTACTAATTTGAAATACATGAAATAAATATTTAAGAAATCCAGTAATCATTATAGTATTTCACTTTCTATAATTATAAATTAATATATTAATAACCTATAAAATGTTTATTAAACAACTATAAATTATTTACAAAAAAGTAATTCAATTATTTATGAGTTGTATAATTTATACTATCAAGTATGATACAGTAAAACATAATATCGGTAGTATTTAATAATAATTCAAAGTATTTTATTTTATTCAAATAATACATTGCTCTCTTATAACATTTATTTAGCACATTTGACAAAATTTTCAGAGTCGTCCAGATACTTTCCGTTACTGCATGTGATTGAATACAGATGATCATTCATACCCGGGTAATAGTCTTTCGGTTTCAGTAACCACGCGTTCCTACAATCTTGACAATCGATGTTAACTCTTATTTGATTGCCCGCTGATGGAAACTTGAGTAATGTACTAAAAATGTTCTCGTTCAAATAATTAAATACGGTTTTCCTTAGCACTGTTAGCTCAAGGTACACTTGGCCGTACGTGATCGCCATGGAATCTTTCGAAAATGTTGTATCAGGGTCAATTGGGTTATTTGTCAAATTAACGTTTATTGCAGTATTAGGACCACCGGATAATGCTATAAAAGCGTCGCCAATAACCGATATGTTATTTGATTGTAGCTCTACCGTGTTGAGCATGGGTAACTCAAAAAATGCAACGGGGTTGATTGTTTCAAGTGCTCCATACTCACTATCATCATACGCGCTAAATGATACTTTTTCTAATTTATTTAACATGCTAATTCCCTTACTTGGAATCTCTGTGATTTTTGTCTCTCTCAACTGGATTTCTTGAACATTGGTCAGCGTACGTATCGCGGCGAATATATCGTAATCACCTTGGTCGGTGTTGTTATTTACTGGACAACTCTGTACATTAAATTGTGTAATAGAATTAGCTGTACCGGAAAATGCAGCTTTGTGTATGTTGACCAAATTGGGCATGAACCAAAAAACGACATTTTTAACTTGGATATCGGCGAACACATTTTCCGGTATTTCAGTAATGTACTTATTATCCCAGATGCTAATGAACTGTATTTGTTTATCGGTGCCATCGAGTGCCTTGCTCACATTCTTGAATACTGCCCTCAAATCGTAGTAGCCATCGGTATAGTCACAGTTGATATAATTGTCTGATCTACATGTGCATGGTTCTAATACAGCAGGGTCAGTTGGACATTTTGCTGCCAAGGTAGTATAAATAGCCAAGTTTATAAATACTATAATTGTCATATAACTCCCTATTGATAATAACATAATACATTAGAATTATTTAAGTGAACGTTTATTTAAAAATATAATTTTTATATTTACTTACTCATTATTGATATTAATAATAATAATTTGTTAAATTGTTAACTTAAAAACTTATTTACAAGTAGATTAATTTTTACAATAATCACGGTCTATTTATATTGAACACATTTATCTAGTTATAATCTCACATGTGTGTGATAGTATTGCACCATTTGAATATAACAAACTTTTTTAACCTATATTTTTTAACATTATTTTATTTTATCTAATGTTCATAATTGATTAGACCAAGTGCAATTAAATTTCATAATGATATATTAACTTTCACTCTATTCATACAGTTATTGTTAAGATTATAAATAATTTTGAAAAGTTATCAAGAACAAAAATGCCTTAATTTATCTGAAAAAATATTTTCCCGTTAATTTGGTAATTTTCTATTACTACATAAGCTTGTTTAGTATTTATTTCATAATATTAAAGTTTTATTAATTGTCCATGATTAAAGCAGATTAGGCACAAATTAGGATTAAAAGTGCACTTGCTACTTATATTGGGTTTATATTTTGATAAGATTTATAAAAACACAATTAATTGACAGTTCATAATTACGTGCCTATTTTGCAATTAACTTTCATAATAATTTAGCAATTTTCAACACAATTAATTTATCAATTAAAAACATATTTTTATTCCCATGACAGTAATGTACCTGGTATAAAAATTGTACCCTAATGTTACTAATTATGTTCTACAAATTATTTTCATAGAATACTTACTTTAAATCCATATGTTTAGTAACATTGTAAAAAAACACTAACAAACATGTAAGTATAATATTTATATATTTGGAACAATGGTACTTTTTAAACATAAAATAAATATTGAAATATAATGATTTATATATTAATGTTATTTAAATAAAAAATTTTAATATTAGAAATTTAAAATATTAGAAATATATGCAAAATTTAAGTTAAACAATTACATTTAAAACTTGATGATCATATTAGCCATAGGCGCACATATATGACCGTTTGCGGTCAACTAGCGATGCATGCATTTAATAGTTTAATACTATATTTACAACACTAGTATTTTATGAATAAGAAATTAAACATTAAGATTAATAATAATTTCTCAGATTTATACTAGTTTTATTACTCATAGCTAGTTATGACTTTTCATTAAATCGCGTGTCAATGTTTTACTATACATTATCTAAATTTTATTTTGCACTTTAATAAATATTCACATTTAATCCAAATAGAAGATTATTTTTTAAATAAAAAGTTACTCATTTATAAAACATAGTATACTTGTGTTGTAGATAATTATTAAGTTTAGTAATATTATGCATCACTATTTAGTATTTTTTTAAAATTCTGGAAAGGCATGACATAGACCATAAACGTCCAAAATATGAGTAGCATGTTAAATTAGCAATGCTATTCATATAGCAATGTGACCGCTGTGGTACATACATGTACATCTACGACATAGACTATGACTGAATACAAATACTATATTTTGATCAAATAGATATTTATATATTCAAAGTGTTATAAACGCAAGAATGTGATCAGGGTTAGTGTATTTACTATGGCCCGAATTTATACGTGCAACAGTAATGCCATCCGGATCATTTTAAAATTTATTTGTATAATTCTAAATCCTATAATAAAATTTATTTATTTTAATATAAATTTTAAAAACATAATTTTAATTATTCTCCTGAATACAAGTAATTTGTAAATTATATACTAGTAAATTAAAATTATATTATGCACAACAAATACTATATTACATAATAATATTTTTAATAACATTATAAATAATTATTACGTTTAAATTATGCAAAATTATTTATTAATCATTAGATTTAATGTTAATACAAATATTCAAGAAATTGTACTTTATCATTTTTAATTATCTTTTAAATGAATTCATGATATTATTTTATCACAACTATTTAATCAATTAAATATTCATGCTGAGTAATTTTTAGACTTACAATAAAAAACCCATTTAGCGGGTTATTATAAGTCACAAATTTTGATTATATAAAGAATAAGTTATCCTTGATAATTTATGTTGAGAATTAAATTTTATTATAATTGAAAATTTTAGAATGTTATACATTTTTAATAAAACAAAATAAATTTTCATTAATATTTTACAGTGTTATAGATTTATTCAATGTTTGACATGTACCCTGATACACCATTCTGGGTACAATACTGTTCCAAAAAGGCAACGGCAACATCAACATGATTGTCATTGATCATTTGATTACAAATGTTGTTAAACACATGGATCTTGCTGAATGCATAAGTATTCTGTAAACACAGTTTAAAAACAATTAATAAACTAGTTCAAATTTAAAATTATTATAAAAATATACCTTGTTCATATTAAAGCACTTATTGTGGAAGGTGTCGACAAACTTCTTATAACAAGTCATGTCTTCGGATAACTCGAGTTTGCTATTCAACAGAGCATTGGTGTCCAAACGGGTCATGTGGTGCACGCTATCCACAAATGCGCGCAAATGTTGGTCAACGTATTGGCGACCCTTCAGTAATCGAGTTAATTCATCCACATATCTAACCCAAAAAAATTAATTTAATATTTTTGAAACAGTAAAATAATTTTAAAATTATAGTTACATTTGTTTCTCATAGATATCATTAGTGGACTGAATGTTCTTTTCGGCTAATTTAATGGGAATGTCCCGGAAGTTCACAAACTCGGCATTTGCGGGCACAGCCATGCTATTGGCACCGGTAGGTGGCACCTTTTTAGCACCTGTATTACATGAGAATAAAATAATTTATTTCAGTCTTTCATTTTAAATTTTAAATTATTCCTTATATTAAATTATATTATTTACCCAAAAAGTCGGAAATATGTTGCTGGGCGATTTTCAAATCACCATAATGTTGCGCGTTTTGAGAGTGTGTCGCATTATCCATGGTGAAATTATT